TAAAAGGGTCAATGAAAGAAATAATACTCAAGGAAATGACATGTGGTTGGAAATGGGATACATTACAGCCAAAATAAAAGGGTCAATGAAAGAAACAATACTCAAGGCAATCACATGTGGTAACCCAAATAAATTTTAAGTTAAATTCACATATCACATTTCTGACGCCGAATAACAGATGAATTGAAGAATTCTGGATTCCAGACTGTTTTTTTGTTCACTCCTGATCATACACACACACTCGTATAAAGTAAGATATGTGCTTTAAAAGAAGAAAAAATACGAAAATTTGTACAGATTTTAGTGTTTAAATACTCAATGTGATTGGCTAATTTGAATAAATATTTGTCTGGGTGACCTTGGTTGGTGTCTTCRCACTGTAACATGGCTGCTATGAAAGCACTCTCAAGTGTAACTTATCTYGACTTGTAAATGTTCGTCATAGATTACATTTATTTTACCTGTATTTGTTTGAGGTTGGCCACATTGGCCTTCAGACTTTCAATACCATGTTGGGTACATCAAGCCAATACACAGTTGTGTCAGGATATTTGAACGCAACCAGTACACCATGTGGCTGAAGAACTGGTTCTGCTGGAAGATAATGAGAAGGAGAAAGTTAAAGATACTTTGGTCAGATATGAATGAAGTACCAGGAATGTGGTGTACTCATATTAGTGAACCTCGGGAGAAGAAAAACAGTGGATGGGATAATAACTACTTGTGTGTACAGCAAGATGCGCCTTATAGGTAACTTATCAATCCATCCATCCATCCATCGAAGAAAAACAGTGGATGGGATAATAACTACTTGTGTGTACAGCAAGATGCGCCTTATAGGTAACTTATCAATCCATCTCTCCATCCATCCATCCATCCCTCCCTCCAATCCATCCCTCCCTCCCTCCCTCCCTCCCTCCCTCCAATCATCCATCCATCCCTCCCTCTCTCCCTCCCTCCAATCATCCATCCATCCCTCCCTCCATTTCTTTAATCCCTCATACTAAAAGTGATCCATGTATTTTTTCTTTATCCCAGATTTCAATGGTCTTCTAATGGTACAATTAAAGGACAGCAATGTGTGAAGTGGATGGGAAAAGGAGGAAAGGATGGATGGGATGACAATTATCTCTGCGCTGATGAATACCCCGAAAAGACAGGTATATATAAATTGAATATTAAAGTCGTTTTGGTAGATGAGGGCTGGTCAAGGACAAAGATGGCTGCCCATGTCCGATGGGCGCCACCTTTCCACGGCCTAATCTTCTGCCATATTGCAAGATATTACCAAATTAACTAGCGTAGCTGGAAGATGGATATGTTATGGCTCTTGAAGCAAATAATGAGATATAATAAAAGAAGATGCCGCAATCGGAGTGTAAGCTAGGATCCCTTTTCGCTAGCAAAACCTTTTCCCCTTAGGTGCTCTTTGCTTTCATCATTTATATACTAATATTGTCTTCGTGTTAGCTTGTCCAGATGGTTGGGTGGTGAACAGAACAAAAACAAATGACTTCTGTTACCGTATGGAAAGTAAAGCCCTGACGTGGCCAGCAGCTCAAACAGCTTGCGAAAACCACAAAGCTAATCTACTGAGCATTCGAAGCCAAGAAGAATTCGAATTTGTCAAAGATAAAGTCCAGAAAGGAATGAGTGTTTGGATTGGTGCCAATGATAGAAAGACTGAAGGAGTATGGCAGTGGACGGATGGGTAATGAAAGGCTTATTGGCCTTACTGAGGTTGCGCGGAAAACTGGTAACAATTACGACGCGCGTTGAATCATGGGTTTGTTTAAGGGGACACAAATGTTTCAATATGTCTGAAAGGTTAGCAAGATTCAAAAACTAAAACTTGTAAAACGAAAGAGAAAAATAGCGTCCCCTAAAACATTTTACACAATTCAGCGCGTATCATACTGGGCCCGGTTGTACGRAGCCTGGATAGCGCTATCCGATGGATAAATCTTATCCAGTGGATAAATTTATTGGATAACAGTATATTGGATAAAGAKTCATCGGCCGGATAGTGCTATCCTGGCTTCGTACAACCGGCCCTGGTAACCAGTTTCCTGCCCAACTTCCGGAAATTGGAAGGCAAATATTGCATTCATATATCACATGTTCTCTTTGCTAGCCAATGCTTTGCGTTTACAATGCTAAATAGCTTTTACACTAATTGTTGCCATAAAGAACATTGCTATGCAATGGTACATACAAATCTTGCTATGCCACCCAAAATGATTTGCGTTGGTACCCAATATGCCTTACCTATCTTATGCAAAACGCTATGCGATATAGCGCACAATAACTTGCGATACCATGTAGTACCCATAATGCTGTGATAGATCTCATGCCTTGAATGGTACCCAAAATGCTATGCAAAGGTACCCATAATATTATGCCAAGATACCCATAATGCTATGCAAAGGTACCCATAATATTATGCCAAGATACCCATAATGCTA